GGGGGCGGGCGGGCAGGAGCCGTGTTGCGGGGCGGGAGTGCCTGGGAGCTTCTGAGTAAGCCTAGGTTTTAAGACCTCTGCCCCATTCAGGAAAAAGCAGGTATTGAAATAAAGGCCAGGGAGCTGGTCCAGCCCACGAAGTATCGTAACTATCCTGCCTTTTCTTATCTCCTAAGAATAACTGCTTGAAAAACAGAATTCTCAACATGGAAAAATCATGCACAGAAAATGAAGAACAGCCACAGAGCACTCTAAAGGCCGATGAAGAAAGGCCTCCTGTGGACCAGCCTCCTGAAAATCAGTGTTCAGAGGAGGATCAGTCCTCAGAGGATCTGTCCTCGGAGGAGCAGTCCTCTGAGGAGGAGTTCTTTCCTGAGGAGCTTCTGCCAGAGCTGCTGCCTGAGATGCTGCTGTCAGAGGATCGCCCTCCACAGGAGTGCCTCTCCCAGAAGAACCTGTTCGAGGACCGCCCTCCCATGGAGCAGCCTCCCTGTGGGGTGGGCAAACACAAGCTGGAAGAGGGAAGTTTCAAAGAAAGGCTGGCCCGCTCCCGCCCTCAATTTAGAGGAGACATACATGGCAGAAATTTAAGCAATGAAGAAATGATACAGGCAGCGGATGAGTTGGAAGAGATGAAAAGAGTGCGAAACAAACTGATGATAATGCATTGGAAAGCAAAACGAAGCCGTCCTTATCCTATTTAATGTGTTCCACTTTTCGTTCAGGTTTGCAGATATAGCTGCCACCTGGACCCTCTGTTTGCTTCTTACATGCCTTTTCCCTTATTGTAATTTTTGTGTACCTTTACTTTAGATGTTTGACGTGTAACTGGTATAAAATTGTTTTTTTTTAACCTTGTAAAATCTGACTCCCATCCATTTGCATGTAAAGTTGTGCATTATATATTGTGAAGTGAAAAATGCAGACGGTATATACATAGTATCCAATTTTTGTAAAAGGAAAACACATATTTATATAATATGCAAAGAAAAACTATATATATGTAAAGGCTAATACTGGCCATCTGTGGTAAGATATTAGGTGATTTTATTTTTTTTATTTTTGCTTTATCTGAATTCTCATTATTCATGAACACATTTCTATTTATGTTGCACAAAAATAATATAAAGAAAAATGTAAAGCTATTCTAAATAATAATGTTAATCAGCATATGAAGACGTGACCCTTAATAAATATTTGTCCAAACTCAATCCTATGATTCTTCTGAATCTCAAACAGAAATATAAACAAGGAATTTATTATTTATTATGAGTAAGAATATTTTTCAAGTTCAATAGAAATAAGATCCACCTTAAAGTGCTGCTGTGAAAACAAATGAGAAATCACTTGAGCTCTTTTTCTTTTCTTACATGTAGAACCCACCCCCAACCACTATATATTCCCTTCAAGCACAGGAGAGAATATCCAAATGAGGTGTTACCTGTGCTCACCACCAAAAGTTCCTGTGAGATTCCAGCTGAGTGCTACATTCTACTGGTTCTGCTGTACTTTCATGTAATGCCTTACCTGCCAGGTATGGCTGCACCTTCTTGGTCCTATTTCCACTGGCCACTATTGCTGCTGACATCCTCAGTGTGTAATGCCTCCGTGATTCCTTTGCAATCCCTGGTGAGCCACAGCTGTATGGTCTCCTCCAGGCATGTAGAGAATGTCCCTTCTTCCAGCTTTAATATTACACTTACCTGGGTGTATACAGACACAAAGCTACTTAGATTTTGATAGCCACTCCAAAAGGACCACAATATTAGAAGTTAACATTTTAAACATTAAATTGTTTAAATATTTTATATATCAAAAGGGGCTGGAGAGATGGCTCAGCAGTTAAGAGCATTAGGTGCTCTTGCAGAGGATCCAGGTTTGGTTCCCAGCACCCACATGGCAGAAAACCCCTCATCCATAACCCCAGTTCCAGGGGAGCCAATGCCCTCTTCTGACCTCTGTGGGCATTGAATGACACAGGTGCACTTACACACATGCAGGCAATACACTAATACAGGTAAACATAGAAATAATAAATATTTTTAAATGTAGAATCCTTGCTATACCCACTCTATTAAGTTTGGGCTTTATAAAATAGAAAACTAAAATTGAAAAACTGCTGTGATATACAGTAGAGTTCTGATTTTAGTAAGAATAAACAATGATTTTAAAGTATCAATAACTGTATCAGAATTAAAATGTGGAAGATTTCCTCAAGCATATTTAGAAGGTTACTTCATCAATTTTATTACAAAATTTATAACTTTCCTGATAGCAAAGCATGGTCATATACAAAGTAAAAAACAAAAATATTTTCCATGACTAACATTATCTAACACCTTGCATTTCTTCTTTTCAATATGAGGGAAAATATGTAAAAAACAAATTGCAAGTTCTTTAGAAATCATCTTTAAAAATCGTGGGAGCTTTTTATGTCTACATACTATACTTTAAAGCTGTAACAGTGTGACTGATGTTAGTGTAGCTGCAATTCTCACTGGAGTGAGGCAAGGTACTGGGGTCAGGTTCTAGATTTTTAATTTAAAAAAAAAGTTAAGTCCAGCCCCTTGGCACTCAGAATGGAGCACTCAGACAGGTCCTCTATGTCTGGACAGACTTATCTGCGGGTGATCAAGTGTCCCATTTTAGATCAAACGATGTTGCTCTTCCTTTCATTGCTCTTTCTTTTTGAGGGAATCCTTTTGTAAGGGAGGAAGAATGCCCTAAATCTTTCTCACTAGAAAGACTACTTAGAATAGTCGTTGAGCAAGCAGGTACCCTACTGTGCCTGACCAGCTTTCATGATGTTGAAAACAAAATAAGCTGAGTCTTCCCTCAGAGTCCAATTTAGTAGCCTCCAGAATAACTGGCAAAAATGAAAAAAAAAACTCACCCTCCTCTGTTCCACCCACCTTGCTCTGACTCTCAGAAGGGCCTGGGAGGTGCCCTAGCCTGTCTTAGTGGTTCTGTGATGACTTAGCTCTGTGTCTGCTTGGTGCAGGGCATTTCATGTCTGAGTTAACTTGGGCCTAGAAGTACAAGAGACTCCAGGTAAATGGAGCTTGCAAAGGCCTGTGATCTTACAACATTGGAGGAAAAAAGAGACACCACTTGTCTGAACAACCCCATACACTGCAAACAGCCCTTGACTTGAAAGTCAGACTTTCAAGTCAGACTATGAATTGGTGTTAACAAGTGTTTTAAGGCATTGGAAGTAGAGGGTCAGCAGCATCAAGAGCCTTGGTCTCTTGGTGCTGCCATGGTTTGAATGTAGTTCTTTATGTGCTAGATGTGGGCCCAAATGAGAGTTGCATAGGTAATGAGGGCTCTGGCCTCCTAAATGCTTTACTGTGCTATGAAAAGGGCATGCAGGTGTGGGTTCTCTTTCATTTTCTCTTCTGTCATATGAGGTTAGAATTTCTATTTTGCTTTTCTGTTTTCTAGCAGGTAAGAACATAGTAAGAAGACTCACACTAGATGCTGGTACCTTGATCTTGGACCTCCCAAGCCTCAAGAACTGTGAGATAATAAACTTCTGTTCTTTGTTAACTATTCATTTTCAGGTATTTTGTTATAGCACTACAAAACTATCAAAGGCACACCCTCTTTAACTTCCTGCATACAAAGAAAGCTAGCATCTCACATCTGTTAACCAGAATCCTCCTGTTCTTAGGAGACGGTAAGTTCAGGAGCTGTCTTGACGAGGCAGCACAGAAGAAAATAGGCTCAGGTCCCTAGTAAATGACTGTAAATAGGGGGCTGGAGAGATGGCTCAAAAGCACTTGCTGCTCTTGTTGAGGACCAGGATTAAGCCCTCAGCACTCACATCGTGCCTCACAGCCAAATGGAACTCCAGTTCCAGGGGAGCATACAATTTCTTCTGGCATTGAGCACACTGCTCACACATGGTATACATACATACATGCAGGCACACATAAAATAATTAAAATTACTATAAATGATTCCTGCTGGCTTAGAAACATAGATATTAAAAAGGGATAATCCAGAGAATTATGGGTAAGATCCTGTATTTTTGAGACAGTCTCACTATGTAGCCATGACTGACCTGGAACTATGTAGACCAGGCTGGCATTGAACTCACAGAGATACACCTGCATCTGCCTCCTGAGTGCTGAAATCAAAGATCTGTGCCACCACAGCCAGGCAGATCATATATTGTAATTCAGATTTGTTTGCATTAAATTGTGTGTTCTTTCCATTATACAACATTGCCTTTAATTTAGATGGCAGTTTTCTAGGGCTCAGAAAGTAATTGATTTAAACTTGCTGATTTCCTTTTGTCTGCTTTCACATGATTGCCTTGCTCCAAACAATGTCTAATAACCTTACAGATATGTGCCTGGAGTTTAGGAAAGATATTAAATGAGTGTATGGATTACAGTTTGGTAGTATCTGGCACTAGCAAGTAACCTATGATTATGTGTTGAATTAAATGAACAAAAGAAGAATCAATTATGTATCCTTCTACTCCTTCCTTCCTTCCTTCTCTCCTTCTTTCCTTTTCTTTCTTTTTCAATAGTGTCTCACACTATAGACCAGACAGTTCTGATACTCAGTATGTAGCCTAGGATGACAGCAAAATCAAGATCCTCTTCCATCAGTTTCCCAAGTGTTTGGATTATAAGACTGTGCCACCATACTTGGCCCTTCTATCCTTTTCTATGACCTCTTTCAAACAGAAGTGGGATTCTATTGAGTGTGATGATACATAACCTATGCCTAAAAAGTGAATTTTTGGTTTAATCTTTCTCTATCAAAACAATACCTATTTGGGGGTGTATCTAGAAAAGGAAATAAGAGGCTAGAGATGTAGCTCAGTTAATAGCATTTCTTGCCTGGCATGCATGAAGCATTGGGTTTGATCCATAGCACAACATAAATTGAGTATTGTGGGCTGCACTTGTCATCCAAGCACTTGAGAGGTGGAAGTAGGAAGGTCAAAAATTCAAGGTAATCCTAGGCTACATAGAAAATTTGAAGCCAGCCTGGGCTATATGAGACCCTGTCAAGAAATAGAAAGAGGGAAGAAAAGAGGGAGAAGAGAGGGAAGGAAGGAAGGTAAAATGGAAGGAAGGAAATAAAAACATTTGGCAATAAAATCCAAAATTGCTGATTGGAAATAGCTAACAAACAAAGAGGAGAAAAACAAACTATGGGGTGATACAGCCTTGATATTTGGGACAAGAATGGCTCAACACTGACTAATGCCAGACTCAAGTGAATGTCAGGCTCTTCCAGGGTGTTGAGGTGACATAAGAAGCAGCAAACAGGTGATTTTTCATTTTCTTATCAAGATTAGTGTATGCATGAATATATGCACATGGGTATGCTTAAAAAATGGTGATATACTATTTTCATTTTTTCTCTCAAGGCAGAAGCTATATATTACTACTAGGAAACATCTGGAAATATGGAGAAACACAAGAAGATATAAATTGTATGTATATTCTTTTACACAGAGAAAACTATTGTTTTTTTTAAATATTTAGTATTTTTATTTATGTGTATGAGTGTTTTGCCTGCATGCACGTAAGTGCACTTGTGTTGAGCAAAGCCTGTGGAGGTCAGAAGAGGGCATCAGATCCCCTGGAACTGGATTTACAGATGTTAGCCATCATGTGGATCCTGGGAATCAAACCCAGGTCCTCTACAAGAGCAGCCAGTACTCTTAACCACTGAGCCATCTCTCCATCCCAAGAAAACCATTAATAATATTGATGTGCACATTGTACTTATATTGCATATGTACATTTCCTTTTAGGAAATCTATCAATTTACTTCGTTACATAACAAATACATTTCTTTACATATTTATGCTTTAAATTCAAGTGCCTTTATATATTTGTTACATTCTGTAACTGTTATAGCATGGATTTTGTTTATTCCTTTATCTTTTTTCAATTTGTATATGTATCATGACATTAATCTGCTTGGCCATTAAACTTCTTGGTGGCAATGTCAATAACAAAAATAAAATTGTCCTCAGAGATCTATGCCTGAAGATCACATGAATTAACAGGTTCCCCAAAGCACAAGGTAAAGGATAGAGGACCAACTTTGCCTAGGCTTAACGAAAAAATTCAAAATGATCAAGTGCCAATTTGGGGCCAGCTACTTTGTATTTGGAATTGTGTTAATTCTTACTACTCTTTGAGGAAGTCATTATTTTCTTAGATAAGGAACCTGAAAT